CCCCAAAACCCCAAAACCCCAAAACCCCATAATGAAGTATTATACTTAAAAAGTTTTAGTTTTTAAATAATGAAATAAATTTTATTTATTAGTCTGATTTAATATATAATTGCAGAAATTTTTCTCTAAATTCGATTGCTTCAGGAACTTAGATGAATCTAGTAATTATTCATTAAGGCTTAGCGATTAAATTAAGAAGCTCATCATTAGCAAAATCGGAATCACATTCAGCTCTTGTTATCACTTCTCCTTCTCTTATAAGTACAACACAAGGGATATCAGCTACTTTTAGTAATTAATGGTTGATGTATGAAAGTTCTGTCTTATCAAACCAATCCTCTCTAGTAGGAACCCAGCATTTAAGTAACTTTCCCTAGGTCTAATTAATTATTCTGTCCTAAATAATTTTCTTATGATTAACACAGTCAGAACACCAACTGATTCCATCAACATCTTCCGCTCCACAGATATAACAAATAACGAATTCCTAATCCTGACTGATTTCCTTGAGTTTAACATCAAAATCTTTTGGATTGTGTATTTCAATTATTTCAACCATCAGTATCTTTGCTAGTTTTTTATCTAAGTTTTAAATTTTTAAATCAATTATAATTTAATGAGAGAAATAATTAATAAATTTAAATAATATCAATATGAATCAGACAGGTGGTTTAGCCAAGAGAACTCAATCTGCAACTTAAAAGCAAAGAACAGAGTACAATCAAACTACTGCTCCATAGACCTTGCTAAATCCAGACAACTATGTGGAGAAACCTAGACCTAACTTCTATAATGTACTCAAGAACATCCACGAGTCTAGAGTAAGCTTTCCTTTCATTATTCGAATTTCAAACTTTATTGAAATTAATCATTAAAATTTTAGTCAGCTTATAAGAGAGTTCTTTATGTTGCCAAGCTAAATGAAACTGAGATCAAGGGTGAAGTAGAAAGTAAGATCATAGTTTGAATATAATCATTATTACAGAGGACATGACAAGCTATTTCAAAAATATTTATGGTGAGCAAGAGTTCTCAGGGTTGAACTTGATTCTAGGCAGTTACTGCATTCACTTGCTAGAGGGAGAAAATGTTCTAGTTAACATGATGCTAAAAACTCTCAATGATTATCAACATTAATCTAACTCGCCTTATCATCAAATATGGATCCTTCACTAAACCGAAGAAGTAAGATTCTAAGATAAATCAATTTAAAAATAGTGTCCAAACAAAGTTTTTTCAACATGGTTGTGTAAGAATGTGATTCTAAGTGGATCAACTAAAGAAGTCAAGAATCTGCAATAGCACGAGAAGTCATGGGTTATTTATGAGAGCATGCTAGAAATAGGCAAATAAATAAACATCGTTATTAACAAGGGTACCTCTTAAATCAATCAAACCATTAAAAATATGGCATCTGAATTACTTCCAATTGGAGAGGAGCTACAATCTTGCCTATCCGATACAGAGATGACATTAAACGAATACTTGCAATTCATTACAGATCCACCCGATATCATTCTTGAGAAGGAGTTAGTCTGGCCAGTGGAACCAGATCTTATATATTGATTAATAAGCAATTAACACTATTTAAGTTAAGTCAAGCCTTAAATGTTTAATAAAGTGTTAATTATGATATTTATAAATCTCTTCCTTCATCTTTGAATCATGTTCTCATACTTCTCTCAATAAACATAAATTAACTATATTCTTAGCGGTGCTGAATGTTGTAATAGTGTGCGCTTCATCGAAGTCATGAGCACCTTCAACTTTACCAAAGTGTTTACTTTGATAATTTTCATCTACTCTCGCAATATTGACTGCATCTTAAATGTCTAGTTCATCTCTCAGAATGAATGACAATGCAATAGCTGTAGATTTGCAGGACTATGATATAGCATAAATACTAGAAACAGCGAATTGATCTAGATCTTGCAGTATTTGATGCAATTTATGTACGCTGGGGTCTTATGAATCTATCTGAAGTGAATGGTAAATCTTAAGCTTGATTTGAAATTCCCTCTCAAGAATGTCAAAGACCTTGCTAGTATGCTCTTTCTGAGTCTTAGCTAAACCAGCCTTGTAATCGTTTTATACATCCTCACTCTCTCTGAAGCAAATCTGATCACTCTCTAAGATACTAAACAGCTCATCTTTCATATAGTCTTAAATCGCTGGATCTAACTAAGCTCTCACGCTCTTTGCTAAGAAATTGTTCTATTGTATGAATTAAACTTTAATATCTTAAGCTTACGATATGAAGAGATTTAAGATTAATAGACTCTTTTTAGGAATCCCATTCCTCAGCCAAAGCTACAGCTAGTGCTTTTGTCGGAATAAACAGATTATCTTTGAACATTGTTTTTGTGGGTCTACCATCTAAAGTTACAGCCCAATATTTATCGCTTAGTGAGAGATTATGAAAGCCAACTTAATCCTAGGGCAAAAGCTTTGGTGCTTGATCTTAGAGAGGGTGCTCGACAATATCTACTTTCTTATAGAATCTCTTGATTTTCTGGCCGGTTGGAATACTTGGGAAGAATGAGGCTGGCTTTGGCACAGAAAATAGTCTTCTCTAATGATTGACTAATTCTCTTTTGATATACTGGGAAAATATCATATTTTTAATAATTTATAATTAATGGCATGTAAATTATGTTAATTTAACTCAATAAAATATTCATCAGACTTCATCTCAATTATCACAAGGAAAAGTCCTAAATTAACTTCCTTTGGTTTTCCTCTCCTATCTTACTAAGCTATTAAAGCACATTCTAAATCAATTCCTTTTCCTTTCTGCCTAAGAATTCCAGAGAAAATTTAAAGCTAGGTGTATTCACTATAATTTCTAGAAATTCGTATATGAAATTCTATTCATCTTCTGTATTGAAACTATCATTACTAAAAACCTGCTCTTTGAATGTCTGAATGATCAGAATGAGTAGTTCACTGTCAAAATCATTGGTGAATATCTTTCTATAATGATCTAAGTCTATCAAACGCAAATATGTATATCTCTTCATAGAGTCTTTGAGCTTTTTACTAAAAAACCTTTCAAAGTCCTCTTGTGATGTGGGAGCTTCAAGTTTATCTTCAAGAGCCATAGAAAGAGTCTTTCTCACTATTTCCTCATCATAGCCAATGTTAGCTATAGCGTTATAGGAAGCAATGAAGTTAACATTCTAAGTGTACTGAGTAGTGATGATATTTTAAGCTGATCCTGCTTTGATAGACTTTAAATTAGCTCCTAGTACCATTTAGCGGAAGCCATCATAGTCCATATGTTGAAGAACTGCTCTCTTCTTGGCTGAGTCAACATTAATTCTCTGACTTTCCTCATTAAGAGAGTGGCCTAGCTCTCTCTTAACTTCTTGACAAGTTAATTTATCCTCAGAGAATCTCTCTTACTTGATCTTTAACTAATACATTTTGAATTCAAATTAAATTTATAAAATTATAATAATGCTATTATTTATATATTGGCTCTAGGTGGGGTTTTGGGGTTTTGGGG